TGGGGTCTCCGGTTACAGTACTAATAAAGTGTAGTTTTACGCCGCAGGTTTTCTGTGAGGACGGGGCGAACCAACCGGCTTAATGCTAATTAAAATAAAGAGCAATTAACAAAAAATGTGTTTTATGATTTATTATAATAAACATTATTTTTACTAAATTTAAATACATTTGTAATTACAATGTAATTTTTTAATAGTTGTAATAATGTGTCTTTCTTTAACACTCCTTTGTATTAATTATTTGTAGTTTGATCTACGTAGAATTGGCGCTATGTTTCACATTTATTTAGTTCTTTAGAATTCCTGTACTGAAGCTAAGTTGCGACGGTGTGCGTGCCACCAGCTGCCCGCTTAGCCGGAACAGCTTCCCATTGACCTTCGGCACAAATTGGGCAGCCCAACCGGTGTCACCACGGCCTCACAGAAAACCGGCGTAAAACAACCACAGCGTTGTGTTTCTTCAGCTCTCCTCATCCCTTCCGAATCCTTAAGTAAACGAATCCGGAACCTGTATCCCCAATAAATGGTCAGCAACGCACTCGTAACTCTCTTGGTGTTACAGGTATCCACGAGCTGAGCCTATTGCTAACATCAGGTAATCCGTCCACTGCTTTGCTGACCTATCCCGTAAAAAATCAATTTTTAACAATCAGAGGACTAGTAGGCCTGACGATACATTAGGTAGCGGCAATGTTTGTATGGACATAGATCGGCAATCGAGCAATCGGATTACCCGATGGGCACTCGTAACACCAGAAGAATTACGAGTGCGTTGCCGGCCTTTTGGGACTAAGAGATTTAGGGATTGAGGAAGGCGCTCCGGAAACCCACCAACACCACCCACAACGCTGTGATTTGTGATACCGTCCATCCATCCAGACTTATAAACGCGTGGATCAATGATTACGGAATGGAGTGAAGTACTCCAAGCTCTACTAGTTTGCTTACGAGTAGAGCTTTTCAATCAAGAGCGCTCTTAAATCGCGATTTTTAGTATGTCTCACGATAGTTATTATAAAAACATATCTTCATAAGTCAATCTTGTAACAACATAAACGCTGTGAAGCACAATCCATGATATCAATTCTGTATTCAAAATAGTTTCTACGTTTTCCTCTTTATATAAAAGAAAATAAAGTCTAATTGAGAACTCAAAAGCTTTTGTTAAGCAGCTCTAATTAAACTCTAATGCGTTAATGTATAGTGTCCACCGGCAGATGGAGTTACGTTGTCGCTGTGTTCTCAGTCGTTACTCATAGTTCGTTTCATCTTGTAAGAGAAGCCGCGCGCAAAAATTGGTCAGTTTATAAAATTTTATATTTATAAATAAAAACCAATACTGAATGCCACAAGGGATGTTGCGACATTGGATCTAGTTGTTATCTGGTTGAAATAAAAACCGATGACAATATTGAGTTGGCAATATTTTGTTTTGTTTCTGACACGTGTATTGATTGCTTTTGTTAGGTCTAGGTTACTATGTCCTTCGTAGATATAATACTATGTATTGTTGGATCTTTTTCGAAGGTCATATTCACTTTTATGTCCTTACATTGTAAGCATTGCTCTCTCGTATATACACAGACGTCTAATGTTGGATTCAAGTAATGTATCAGTGAGATAGCAAAATAAATGTTTATAAAAGACTTTTTCTTTTCCATACGAATCTACATATTCGACTGAGCATCTAAGTTTATTGATGGACAGGAGGCAACCATGACATTCAGTGTGGGTAAGAGAAAGAGCTATACAAGTTGTCTAGCTCTGTCTCTCACTCTCTCTCTGAAGTAAGATTAAAACAATTTTACTTTGAAGGTCATGGTAAGCCCCCTTTAACTTTGTTTTCTAATCTGTGGGACGGAAAGACGAATATTGTGGTTTCAAAAGTGCGTGTACCTCAACAGCCTTCATAGGTATACATACATTTTTAAGTGTGGGAGAGCCATGCTTCGGCAAGAGCGGGCCGGCTCGACCGGAGAGATACCACGGCCTCACAGAAGACCAGCGTGAAACAACCACAGCGTTGTGTTTCACCGTGTCAGTGAGGTTACCGGAGGTCCAATCCTTCCCCGCCCCCAATTCCTCCTTAATCCCTAAATCTCCAAATCCCTAATCCCTAAAAGGTCGGCAACGCACTCGCAACTCATCCATCGCGGGTATCCATGGGCGGCCCTGATTGCTTACCATCAGCTAATCCATTCATCAAATCTAATCCAATCAATCTAATAAATTTAATAAAAAAAACATATTTAAAAAAGCTTTGGCATTTGATTGCAGTTGACTTTGACTTTGATTGCCGCACGGAACAACTCTTTGTGTGATCTATAATTTGTTGTTCTGTGTCTAGGTGTGATATTATTGTCATTACATTTTTACCAGTGCGACACTCGAGAAAAATTAAGCATGGGACAAAAACTTTTCAAAAATAAACAATAATTCCAAAAATTATAGGGAATTTTATCTGGTGCAATAAGCATTCGCAACAGTGCACTGTTATTTATACCTACTATGTAACATATCAAATTTGTAGTCTATAATAGAAAATTTGCCCTTACAATAGTATATAACATAAGGAACAAGGTGGTATTATGTCACGAAGAGTAGCTTAAGCCTCAGAGCGGGAGAAGCCAATTGATGAAATTCTACCCACAAATTATAGAGTAGATACAATTATTCGTTTTATATGTCAATTAGCTACTTTTGGGCGGTTTCAACCGCTGCTTTTGATCGTAGCGTGATGTTTTATAGCCTGTAGTACTCAGGAACATTGTAGCCATCTACCCGTGAAATAATTTTGGCAATCCAAAGATTACCCCCTACATACAAACTTACAAATTTTACCTCTTTATCATATTAGTATACTCTTTATAATACAATTAGTATCTAATGGAGTTAATGGACAAACAGTCCAAATTATCAGTAATGGCGCGTAATGATGAACTTGTTATGGGTAAACCTATAACAAGAAGAGAGTTGGAGGCAAGAATGTGTAGAGGAAGATAATCGATATAAAAATAATTCATTGAGGAGATCCATTGGTAAGGATTTCCAAGTATTGGATACGGGAAAAAGCTCAAAGCATGGACACAATAAAACGAACAAAGAGTGGCCAGTGGGTGGCTTAATATCGCATGTTAATCCGTTGCACCGTGCGGCAAACGTAAACGCATTTCTACACAATTCCGGATTGAGAAAAGTGTGAGTCGGGTTCTATGGTTCTGTATAATAGAAGGCTTGATAAAAAGTTGATTTCTTAAAAACAGTCATTATCATCATCCAAATAACCTATAGATTTCCAATTCTAAATTTAGGCTTCCCTGATTCACTTTCAGTCCAGTTTGCTGAAGCTAACTCAAACCAGCGGCTTTCAGTGACCGAGGTACGAAGTTTTGATTTATTTATTATTTTTGACGTTGAAAATAAATTCGACAAAATTGCGGTAAAAATTAAACAAACCTCAAATTATTTTTATAATGATATCAATGAGAAACATTACTTGGAGTAAGAAGTCTAAAGAAAATGTAAAAGATAGAAAAATTGTAACTTATAAAGGATTCACGTTAACCAAGCGACTAAAAAAATTTGATTGATAATCAAAGGTCAAATTGAAATTTTTTGTGTTTAACTTTACGTCTAATTGTTTGTTTTCGAAATTAAAACATTATTTTCTGTGCCATGGACACAAGACTGGCTAGATAATCTGTTGGCAACGTTGCGCTTGGGGTCCGCTGTTTACTTTGGCCACGGAACCCAGTGAAAGGATTTGACGTGGTTGCCCCGCGGCGGCGTGTCGTAGTCATCGTAAAGTTACTTTGTGGACGTTAGCTACGCTCTAATTGATTGTGATTTTTCATTTTGTGCATACCCGGAGCCAGGTAACTGCGTCGACATATTGGACTGCCTGGAAAACAAAACTTTACAGAGCAATATCCTGATACTGCCACAGGTTATTTGGATACTGGGCAATATCTACAATAAGCATAGGGGAAGTTTAGGAAAAAGAGTATAATAATACATAGGTTATGTTGTTTTGTGTTTAGCATCTATCTACATATTTTTTATGGAAAGGAAACAAACGAACAGACGAATCATCTGATGGTAACTGATCGACGCCGCCTATAATCGCCTGCGGCACTAGAGAAGGCGCATTACCGGCCCTTTAAGAAGAAATACGCTCGTTTCTTGAACTTTGGAAGGTCGTATTAATTAGGAAATACCGCCACCTGAATAGCATTCCAAAATTTTGCTGTGCGGGGCAGACAGTTTCGTGTAAACGCATAGCAAAACAATTGTTAAAATATGTTTTTTAAGGTATAACGCGACAAAAATGAGCTTTCTGCTTTTTTTATTTCTTTTATTTTATTTAATAGGTCGGCAAACGAGCAGACGGATTACTTGATGGTAAGCAATCAGCGCCGCCCATGGACACACGCAATGGAGGAGTTACGAGTGCGTTGCCGACCTTTTAGGGATTAGGGATTTGGTGATTTAGGGATTTAGGAGGGATTGGGGGAGGCGAAGGATTGAGCCTCCGGTAACCTCACTCACACGGCGAAACACAAAGCTGTGGTTATTTCACGCCGGTTTTCTGTGAGGCCGTGGTATCACTCCTGTCGAGCCGAACCATTCGTGCTGAAGCATGGCTCTCCCACACTTACGCTCTGCACGCCTGATGGTGTTGTCTTGTTACTTACAAGTAACCTCTTTGAAAGAAAACGGGGTCTCCGGTTACCGTACTCATAAAGCGTAGTTTTACGCCGCAGGTTTTCTGTGAGGACGGGGTCGAACCATCCGGCTTAATGTTAATTAAATTAAAGAGCAATTAACAAAAAATGTGTTTTATGATTTATTATAATAAACATTATTTTTACTAAATTTAAATACATTTGTAATTAAAATGTAATTTTTTAATAGTTGTAATAATGTGTCTTTCTTTAACACTCTGTATTAATTATTTGTAGTTTGATCTACGTAGAATTGGCGCTATGTTTCACATTTATTTAGTTCTTTAGAATTCCTGTACTGAAGCTAAGTTGCGACGGTGTGCGTGCCACCAGCTGCCCGCTTAGCCGGAACAACTTCCCATTGATAGAAGTCGCAGCTTCCATTTTCCTTAAAAACATGTTCTTACTAGATGTGTTCAAAGTCTTCTCTGTCAGAGTCTTGTTGGATTCCGAATCCAGAGAGTTGATGATAGAGTCCGCATCAGTGTCCATATTAAATATATTGGTATGAGACTCTTCACGCCACAACTTTTGCAAGTTGAGCGCCATCAGCTCCAGCTGCACCTGAGACAGCTCCCTGATTACGTCGATCTGGACCGACATCACGTTGTCACAAGTTTTCAACAAGGAATTTAGCGTCTCCAGAACATTGGCACGTCTCTTTTGGATGCTGTACTGGTTGTCAATATTACGTTCGAAGAAAGCCAAGTGCTCATACAGTTCCGCTAGTTGCAAGGAGCATGATATATACTGAGCTGAATGATGCTCAAAGTCGTAGTAATGCTTAGCCCTCATCAACCACTTGTAAGTGAAGGCAAACAACTTTCTAGCATCCTCAACGCTGCAAACGCTTTCTAGCGGAACTTTGCCTTCCATCTCTTTCAAATCCAGAGACGGGAAGGTGAACAATTTCTCTGGGGTGCAATCTCCCTTGCCGGATTTTTCAGCCCCCAGATCTTTCATATTTTCCTCATCGAGCTTCTCCGAGCTGTGCAGCCTGTCTTCCAGCAAGTCCACCGTCTTCCATAAATCTGCTCCCGTTGAAGGTTGGGTGAAATATTTATTCAGAATCTTCTTTTTAGACATTTTGAAGAGCGTCAATCCATATTTGACCCAGTGATGGCTCAACTCCAAGAAGTGGATTTCAAAATCTGCTTTCTGCAACACGAATTCTTCAGGCATAAGTTTGCAGTTATCATGGCAGGTCCTCAATACGTGGTAGGCGGCGCACAGGTGATGGCGGGCATTGCCAATTTGGTTTAGGTAAGTGAAGTAATTTCCAAGCCGCGCAGTCCGCAAGGCCCAGTCTTGTGGAGTACCTTCTTTCATTTCCAATTGCCTACGAAGAGCCGTATGGTTATATAAAGTGTATTTGTGAGGCAAGTTCATTTTATTGTACAGAAATGCTTGCATTTGAACGTTGTTAGTGATGACTTTGTCTATTTTCTCAGGATTCACGCGTTTGATGTTACTCACTGGCTCAACTGTGAATAGGTCTTCAGCATCAAGAAATTTGTCTGGCTCAGATTTGCTGATTTGGTCGTACAAGTCTTCCATATTCTCAAGGATCTCACGGGCGTCAGCGATCTGGTCTAACTGAATCATGTAGTAGCATAGAAGATTCTGTATTCTCAACATTATGAAAAGGCATTCCTCTCTGAGTGCATACTGTTTCAGTTTTTCAAATGACGTTTGGAGTATGTTTTTTTTCTCAACATAGGATAAGGGCATCGTTTTAGCAGAAAGAAGGGCAAGGTAGCCTTCCATAGCCAAAGACCTTATGTACTGGTCATGGTTCTCCTTACCTAAGACGATCAGCTCATTGGTAAGGGTTTGGATATCTTTCTTCAAATTTTGGAGGCGCTCAGATGAGTTCCTGTTCTTTATATTTGATCTTACGCTTTCGAAAGTGCTGCTGATTCGACTTAATGTTTCCATCTTGTTTTATTATAACACTTATAATTTTTCATTTATGCAAAGTGACATCGAACGAGTAAAATTTTTGCATGGATTCTTGTGACTGTCACATTTAATTAAATTCTGTTTTCTGATAGACATAGTGAATTTGAAGAATTTAAAGCATGTGCTGCCAGTAAGCAAGGCGTTTTAAGCATTGAGGTTATACTTTGTGTTATTTATTTATAACTACTTACTCTGCTTCTTTCTAGTATGATAGTAGAGATTAAGGTCCCAGCTATGCGTGATTATTTACCAAGTACGAAAACTAGTCGACATTTTTGGAAACATCATAAGTTGATTCAAAAATATGTATGTAATACAGAGAAAGCACGTGGGACCTAATATTAAAATGATCGCCAACGGCGGTTTGGAACCTTACTGTGCCTCAGGCGATGCGCGATTAACCGAGTATGGAATGCTAATATCACCACTCTGTTCTTCAAGCGGGTGTAATAAACCCGAGCATACTAAGGCGGTACAGATTTAATAGAGATCGAAATGCAGCGCTGTTTTTTACATACGACTCTTTTCGCCGCCCATACGCTGCGAGCCTTATGGTGATTAGGGTTTTGGAGATTCAAAGATTGAGGAGGGATAGAGGTAGGGGAAGGATTGGATCTACGATAACCTCACTCACATACCGGTTTTCTGTAAGGCCTGATGGTATCACTCCGGTTGAGCTGCCATATTCGTACCAAACATGTCTATAAAACATTTAAAACCTCTTCATTCCATCGGCCATGCGTGGGGATTATAGAAATTCCACTTTTATAAAAGTCGAGAAGGAGGTTAGGGATGAATTTTTTCGTAAATGTTTGCCACCTCTGTCCTGTCACATATGCATGCGGGAGGGCGCCCTACTGACCTTCAACCATCGATTTTATCCGAAACTGGAACGAAAATCGAAATTCATTTTTTGGTTTACTAAAACTTTTTACCTTTTTACCATAGGAATGAAGGAAGTTCGAATATTACATTGCTTTTATGAAGGGATTATGATGTTGCTAGTAATGTTATGAGAAAAATAAGAATATACTTAGGGGTATAATCGTAAAATCAAGGAACGGATGAGTTTTTAAACATGTTTTGAAAAGAAAAAATACTTTATTTTTGACTTAATGTCTTAATACCCAATTAGATTGCTTATTTTTTTTTTATAGCTAGCTAGCTTAAAGCTATATATAACCCAAGTCAATAAAACTGACGCTAAAAGATGGAAGTGTTTTTATTTTTTTATACAAAGGACAAGTCACATCGGCAGAGTACAAAAATAACAGGAACAACTACTATGTCTTACCAAAACTATAGATTAAGAACAACGGTATCAGTCGGCGAACGAACAGATGGATAATGTAATCTGCGCCACCCATGGACCTCTAACCCTGAGTTAAATTTGCTCTGTTGGTCTTTAAGAAAAAAAAATGAAATTATGAAAGAAATTTCAGGTTTCCTTATCGAAAGAAAATAAGAGTTGGGACTTCGGTAGCTTTTCTTAATTAACACAACGAAACACAAAGCAAGAATCATTTCGCGCCGGCTTTTCTGTAAGCAGGAATGTCCCGGTTTTACTTCTGTTCCGAAGTTCCAGAAGTATTACTCCTGTTCCGGGACACACCTGCTGAAGCATGGCTCTCGCCCACTTAGTTTTCTTGTTAGCTCCGCTTTCAACTTTAGCATCGAGGCAGTATTACTCGTAGACTTTTATTTCATGATCCTTTACTCCAAATGAAAATTTTCTTGAACACTAGACTTGAGATTGCATTACAAGTTGTATTTGAATTAATCTCAGGAAACCTTTGTTTTGTTCGGATCAAATTAGATTTGTTTTCAAAGCGACTTTTGCGTAATATCATTCCACTTGTTTTCTCCATTGCTCCTAAAGTCGACGGTAGGTAAGATTGCTGATAATATAAAAGCGAAAGTTTGTATTTTAGTATGTAGGCTTCTTAGGCTGTTTGTTATTGTTCCACGTAATAACGGATCTGAATTAGATTTGGTATAGAGATAGATTATAGTCGGAAACAACTACCTAAAATATAAAAAAAACTACGTTTAAAAAAACCGACTTCAAAAACAAAAAAGTGTCAAATAAGTAATTAAAATTAATATTTTAATACCACTTTTACGTACGCGAAGCTAATACTTTTAATATTAATAATAAAACACTATCAATTCTATGTGCTACCTATTCATAGGTTTGAAGTCGGTGCCAAGCCTAATACATAATAATTATAATAAGCATGATACATGAGTACCTACACTCGCCGGGCGCGTGTGAATTTATTTGTTAGGATTTAAGAAATTTAGTACCGATTTTCTAACTTGATAGCGTTAGCGTAGAATCAGAAGTCTATATGGTTGCGTTACCGGCGAAACTGTATATAGCTTAGAAAGATATTTGGATGAATTATGAAAGTTTTCTTGTACTTGGTTGTTAAAAGTAGTAGTAGATAGCTGCGTTGTTAGTTGTGGAAATTTCGCCTTTTAGCAATTAAACAGTCTTAATTCTCATTTAGTTTTATTCTGTTTAGGGCTTGGCACCGACTTCAAATCTATGAATAGGTAGCACATAGAATTGATAGTGTTTTATTATTAATATTAAAAGTATTAGCTTCGCGTACGTAAAAGTGGTATTAAAATATTAATTTTAATTACTTATTTGACACTTTTTTGTTTTTGAAGTCGGTTTTTTTAAACGTAGTTTTTTTTTATTTTTTACTTTTTAGTGTCTGTTACAAGTTCTTCTGTAAACTACAGTAACATCTTAAATATAAATTAACATATTGAATAGTATATATTTTTACGAAAGGAGCCGCTCGATAAAAAAAATATAGATCCCAAGAAATGGGAAAGTTCTCATCATCATCAGCCATTTTAATGTTCCCACTACTGGAACACAGGCCATCTCTCTAGGAAAGTTCTTAACAATATAAATTAAGTCCAAACACGAGGTAGCTACTGTAAACCGTTGAGGAGTTCCCTAGACAGTCCTTCGTCTTTATCATCAGATCCCTGATGACAGTCACAATCCATCTAGATGTAAAGTTCTTATCAAAACGAATTAATTAAGCTCAAACACAAGGAAGCTGCTATGAATCGTTGAGGAGTTCTCTCGGCTGTCTCTCGGTTCCACCCGGAATTCCCTCGACGGTCAATGGTCTCCATCATCTGGTAAACTGCAGACCTTCAGTTGTTATAATACATACAGGTACAAAGTGTTCATCAATATAAATGAATTAAGTTCAAACCCTAGTTACTGTAAACCGTTCAGGAGTTCCCTGAGCTGTCCTTCGTTCTCATCATCAGACCCTTAATGACAGTTACAACCAAGCCTGCTGCAAAGTGCTCGTCAATACGAATCATTCAAGCCCAAACACAAGGCAACTACTTCAAATAGTCAAGGAGATCCCTCGACTGTCTTCCAGCTCCAGCATCTGGTCGACTTCGACCTTCATCAAGTCGTAGTGTTGTTAAAAGCCTACTTAAACATCATACAAAAACACTACTCGTCCCTACAATTTTTGAAAGTTCCCATCGGTTTCTCCAGGATTCCATCATCAGATCCTGACCTCATGACAATGGGACCAAATGGCATGTATACCCTATCGAATAAAAAAAAATTTTGCAAATCGATCCAGGCGTCTTCGAGTAATCGGTGTACATACATAAAAAAAAAAAAAATACGCGTCGAATTGAGAACCTCCTCCTTTTTTGAAGTCGGTTAAAAAATAGCCTACTTTTATCCCTGATCTCTGGCCTACTAGAGAGACTCAGAGTGCAGTAAAGCGACTCTGCGCGACAATATACAAAATGTGGAAATTCGCTATCGAACCAAAGTTACGGACACAACTCGTAAATTCGGCAGGTTAAAGTGATAATGGGCAGGCTACATCGGTTGAAGGACGAACGGCCTGGAAAATACTCGAGTGGCGTTTACGGAATCGGAAAAGTTCGTGTGGGCAGGCTTCCAACTAGGTACACCAACGACATCGTCACAGTCGCGGGGAGCCAAAAGATTCTAATGGCGAGTTGAGGTTCGACGTGGAGTACAACGAGAGGAGAGAGCGGCTGATGATGATGACCTTTTTTTCTTAGTTCTGCGGGTGAAACCGCTGGCAGAAGCAAGTATAATGTAACGATTTTAAGTGTGGGAGAGCCATGCTTCAGCACGAATGGGTCGGCTCGACCGGAGTGATACCACGGCCTTACAGAAAACCGGCGTGAAACAACCACAGCGTTGTATTTCGCCGTGTGAGTGAGGTTACCGGAGGCCCAATCCTTCCCCTTCCCGGCCCCCTCCCCAATCCCTAAATCTCCAGATCCCTAATCCCTAAAAGGTCGGCAACGCACTCGTAACTCCTTCGTTGCGGGTGTCCATGGGCGGCGTTGATTGCTTACCATCAGGTAACCCGTCTGCTCTTTTGCCGACCTATTACATTAAAAAAAACGATATTGCAAAGCCTTGAAGTTACAGGTAAAAGTGTTTCCTACATTGTAAAACTAAAAATTTACGAGAACGCCTTTTAAAAAGAAACAATTCCACAAAACTTTGCTTCCCACACACATTTTCTTGATAGGCAATGAATGCGTTTGCAAACACAAACGCATAAGTTGCATAGTAAGGTTAGGTATTTCTTGGAGAAACCTGAACGTTGGTACCATGTAAGCGGTATGTCGGTATTTGAAACATATTTTCTGCTGCTTATATTCCCGGCATCCGACGTCGATGGCATTCAGAATATTCAATAGTATGGAAGCCAAGATTCTCTCTATATTATAGGTTATCGTACACAATCACCTCAATAGTTTTTAAACTTTCGCGTTTCACGTTAACATAATATAATTACGCGGGTATTGACGCGTAAATTATTTAAGTACCTTGGAAGGCTTGACGTTTCGACCAGGTTGTGGTCGCAAGCAGACCTTGACCACCCAGGTAACAATAACTATACAGTTTAAAATTTTCTTCTCTAAACTTG